AGTGGCAGAGAGAGAGAGAGAGGTGTCTTCCGCCTCCACAGAGGAAGTAACAGATTTCCCAGAATTCTCAGGGGAAGGCCATGCCCACAGAAGTCTCATTGGGTATCTCCAGGTTGACAGCCTAGATCCTACCCCTACACTCTTCATCCTTAAGTTGACACAGATTAGGTGACGACCACACTTCTGCAGTCACTATTTGGACTGGACGTAGCTCTCCGGACTGTGTGGTAAATCTAAGACGGGTCCCCAGTTACAATGCACTCCTTGAAACTGCCTTTTTAGTGTCGATACTGCTTCAAACACGGATCAAAAACATCTGTTTTTGTTTTTGTTGTTTTGAGTGAGCCAAAAGCTTGCTGAGACCAAGATGTTGACTTAAAATTGAAAATGCTGAACAGCCATGTGTAATCCAAATTTCAGTAGCTATCACTTCAAAAAGAAATACTTTGGTTTTCTTCCACCACGTTCTAGAATTCAGACACGATTTCTTCATTCAATGATGGTTACAGTCTTCCTTCATTGGCTCATCTTTTGAGATCTTCCTGAGCTTCCTTAGAACAACTGATCCACCTAGAAATTGTTGTCTTATGTGGAGCAGCATTCCCATAAATTTATTACAAAGTTTCAATGATCTGGGAAAATATCCATGTAAGTTCTATTAAAAACTTGATTAGCCCTCACCTCCAAATCATCCCCTCTTCCCCCATAATGCAAAACAGGTTTGTTTGTTTTCAAGACACTCTAACCAGACTAAGACAAGCAGACTACTGAAAGGACCTGGACTCAGCCAACCAATGATCAGGGAGACAAGCTTAAACTCATTTTGTTTAAAATGAATACAAGCATTTTAATAGCAAAGTGTAAATTTATGTACATACCAATCAATTGCATTGTTTTCTTTTTTATATTCTAAAAATAAAATAAAATTTATTCATGCATATATGAACTGCAACCCTCATAGCACTAATTTTTGGCTTATCCTCAGACAGTGATTCATTGCACAATAATATTGAAGCTCATGGAAAAAGACTACATAGGATTATATGCAAGCAAAAATACAGCATATAAATTTTTGTAAATGCTCACAACAATTTCCTGTAAAAGGCTATGTGAGTCATGAAAGCACCAAAATAAAATTACTACAAATACAGACTCTACTCACCAGTTTGATTGCTACGTATTCATTGGTGTAGAGATTTTTACCTAAGGGAAAAGGAGAATGTTTATGTTTTAGTGACATTTATTCTGGGAAGCACAAAGAGAAGTCTAGCTTACAGGGTCATGAGAAAGGTAATAATCCCAATGCAGTTCACCTATATGAAACATGGAGCCCAAATGAAAAGCTAGAAAAAGAGACAAAGATGAGATCTAGCAAGTATAAAATACAAACTGCTTGATAACTTAGAAATTTAAGTTATACATGAGTTGTGTTTTTTTTGTTAAATCATTTTGTTGGAGGCTCATTTGTTCCCATCATCATTCTGAAAACATTTTCTTTCTACTTGAGTCCTTGGTATCAGCTCCTCATTTTCGCCCCTCCCTCTCCCACCCTCTTTCCCTCACGAACCCTTGATGATTTATCTTTTTTTCTTTCCATGTCTTACACTGTCCACTGTCTCCCTTCACCCACTTTTCTGTTGTCCGTCCCCCAGGGACGGAGTTATATGTAAATTCTTGTGATTGGTTCCCCCTTTCTCTCCCTAGCTTTCCCTTACCCTCCTGGTATCTGATTATTGGTCCTGAGGGGTTATCTGTTCTGGATTACCTGCATTTCCAGCTCTTATCTGTACAAGTGTACATCCTCTGATCTAGTTGGAATTGTAACGTAGACTTGGGATGATATTGGGGGGAGGAAGCATTAAAGAACTAAAGGAAAGTTGTATGTTTCATCGTTGCTATACTGCATCCTGACTGGCTCATCTCTCCCCGTGACTTCTGTAAGGGGATGTCCAGTTGCCTACTGATGGGCTTTGGGTCCCCACTCCGCACTCCCCCTCATTCACAATGATATGATTTTTTGTTCTTTGATGCCTGTTACCTGATGCCTTTGACACCTCGTGATTACACAGGCTGGTGTGCTTCTTCCATGTGGGCTTTGTTGCTTCTCAGCTAGATGACCACTTGTTTATCTTCAAGCCTTTAAGACCCCTAGACACTGTATCTTTTGATAGCTGGGCACCATGAGCTTTCTTCACCACATCTGCTTATGCAACCGCTTTATCTTCAGCGATTGTGTCAGAAAGATGAGCATCATGGAATGCCAGCTTAAGAAAACAAAGTGTTCTTGCATTCAGGGAGTACTTGAATAGAGAGAGGCCCAATGTCCATCTGCTACCTTAATACTAAATCTATAAATATATACACATAGATCTATTTTTCTATCATCATATATAAATATATTTACAGATGTACATGCCTGTCTTTAGACCTCTATAGATGCCCTTTGCCTCCTAGCTTCTTCCTCTATTTCCTTTTACTTTCCTCTTGTCCCACTATCATGCTCAGCCTTCATATGGGTTCAGTAATTCCTCTCGGTTACATTGCCCTTGATCAAGCCCTACCAAGTCTCCTATACCCTCTTCACCATCGATTTTGTATCACTTGTTGTTCCCTTGTACCCGGGTTTTATCACCCACTTCCTTTCCCCTGCCTCCCCTTCTCTGCCCTAACCTTCCCCAATGGTCGATCCGTTTGTTTCCTCCAGATTGTTTATCCAGCCTATCTTAACTAGATAGACCTACAGAGCTATTAATATGCAAAGAAACAAGACAGCGCAAAACAAAGCAACAAAAGAAAACAAAACAACAACAACAAAAACAATGACAACAAAAGAAAGAAAAGCCTGTAAATAGTTCAAGGTCTGTTTGTTGACCTTTAGGAGTGTTTTCCTGTGGAGTCTGATGGGGTGCCACACCCCAGCTCCAAAGTCTATTATTGGTATTCCCTTGGGGCTTCGTTACTCTGTTTTCCTTGCTGTTCAGTTACATGCCCTAGTGTTTAGCCCCAGTGTGGTGGGCTTAGATGGGGCGCAATTCCCACATTGTGTCTCCAGTGTTCTCCCCTGTAGCACTATGGGTCAGTGAGGGATATCATGTCTCATAGTGGGGCCAGCTCTATGGTCTTTTCTGTGCATTGCTGTTCTGAACAGGCAAATCATCCTCAGGGCTGGTGGGCCAGGATGTGCTCTACTCTCTCTTCCTCCCCCTTCATTTGCTCCTGTGTGCTCTGATCAGACATATCCCTCTCCCTGAACTGTAGCCTCAGTGCTGTCCTCTGAAGTGAACTCTTCTGCAGGGAGGGGGACTGGCTACATAGTTGGGATTGGGGCTGGCCCCTGAGACCTCTCTATTGGTTCCCTACTTCATGGCTTTGGCAAACTATTGTTTTTTTTAACATTATACTTTTAATACTACTATCAGACTGCCAAGTAACTTCATATGTCAAAAGAGTACACAAATTTAGGAATACCTTTGTAAATAATACAATAAGGAACAACTATGGTGTGCCAGAAAAACTATGAAATCATTCTAGGATGAAATTTACTTTTTAAATAAACACAGGGAGAAAATAAGCATTTGCATCCTCTATAAATGTAGTGTAATAGCTTCTAAAAGTTAATGCATGTTTCTGATAAATGTCCTCACAAAAATGGATTTTTATATATGACCATAAGTCAAAAGTAGAAAAGTTATTAAACAAAAATATTAAAATGTGAAACTGTAAATGACTAACTTCTAAAATAAAATTCTCTTGGGAGTGCACAGATATAAGCATTCTAGGGTGAAAGAATCTGAAGTTCTTGTTTCTCGACATATCCCCCTCTAGGTCTATACTCTTCTGAAATTGATGTTGCCCCCTCTCTAACTCTTTCCCAAATAATTCTGCATTCTTTAATTTACAACACATTAAGAGTACTTTGGCATCCTTGAGAGACCAACATTTTTAAATGGTCTCTGAATTTGGGAAATAAGTCTGACAGGCAAGATGAGGGTAAGGTTTCCCCCAAATTCTTCTAAGACAGTCTTTGATTAAAAAAAGAAGAAGAAGAACAGGTGTACTGCCATGATGGGAAAAAAAATTCCTCACCACAAATTTCCTGGCCTTTTTCTCACCGATGCAGTTTTCAATTTTCTTAAAATTTCTTTCTAATAAGTTCTTCTGATTGTCTTGTACCCTTAGAGAAAATCTATCAGGATTCCCCCTTAGGGATCCCCCCAAAAAGGGCCCATGTAATTTCCAATCTCTGACTTCTCTGCCTTGAATTTAATTGGCCCAGCAGATCTCCAAAGTCACTGTTTTATTTATTTGTTTATTTAGCAGTTTTATTAGCATTTCATCCACATGTCATACAGTTGTCATCATATTCAATTTTAGAACATTTTCTTTTTCCTTGTAGTCATTGTTATTTAAGTAATTTTTTTTCTAATTGTGGCAAAAATACACACAACAGAGCATCCTCCAGTTCCATAACTTCTACTTGTATAATTCAATGTTCTTTGTGTCGTACAACCATTACTGATATCCTTTTTCAAATTATTCTATCACCGTTGTCATAAACTCAATGCTCCCTATGCAGCAACTCTGTCCCCCTTCACCTATGGTTAACCATTGGTCAAGTTTGTTTGTTTTCTCGTGGTTTTCTTGATGTGGTATTCACATATCATGTAATTCCAGGGTTAAATCACTCTTAAAATGAGTTAGATAATCACAATCAGTTCTAGTGCTCCCTCGCCACTCCCCCATTCATTATTTGTCCCCCAAATCCCCTCACCCTCCCTATCTTCCACCACCCACCCCAATGCCACTGTTTCAATTTAACCTCTACTTTATTTTTGAAGACACCTAATGAGACACATGTATTACTGAAAGAACTTGTGTACAGCCATCCACTGATTGCAAAGACATGTTTTGTTGGGGGAAAAATCTGTGCATATCGATCTAGAAGAATACAAGTAGCAATACTTTTTTCACTTACCCTTGTATTTTATGAAATTGTGAAAAGCATACTAACTGAAGGAATAGATAAAGTAGAACAGACAGCCAAGTCTCAAGGAGATGAAGATTCCAACATGGCCCAGAAAACTTATTCCATACCTGATATGATGCTGAATACTGATTTCTCAAGAGAGCCTTGATAGAGCTGTATAAACATTGCTATTGTGACTATTTTAGCACAGAGCTAACCTCTAAGAACTTAATATCACTTTAAAAAAGTCAGCCTATAAAATTTTAAAATTATAAATATGTTCTGAATTATTGACATTCCCAGTCAACAATTTCTAGCAATAGGAATTTTTGAGAGTGATGGAGTTAAAAGCACCAAAATTCATCTTTTACTCTTTTAGAGTACACCACACCTGCACTGTTGAAAAAGCTGACATCTTTGAAGTATACGGGTTACATAGTTTCAAATAAGAAAAGGCATACAGTAGGGTGGTATCCTTTCACTTTACTAATTAAATCTATATGCTGAAAAAATAATCTCAGCTGTGTATGCTATATGATAAGGCATGTTACAGGAGAATGAAGGAAGACTCATTAACAACCTGAGATATACAAATGATAAAACCTTGCTTGCTAAAAGTGAAGAGGGCTTGAAGCACTAACTGATAAAAAAAATCAAAGACTACACCCTAATTATGGACTGCACCTCATCATAAAAAAAAATCATCAAAAGTGGACCAAATAAGCAACATCATAACAAGTGGACAAAGTACTCAAGTTGCTAAGAATTTCATGTTACTCAGCACCCATGAAAGCAAGTCAATAAATCAGGCAAATCTGCTGCAAAAGACTTCTTTTAAAGTGTTAAAGAACAAAGATATTACACTGAGGACTAAAGTGTGCCTGAATTACATCCTGGTATTTTCAATCACCTCTTATGCATGCCAAAGGTAGACAATGAAAACGGAAGGTCAAAGAAGATTTGATCCATTTGAATTATGATGCTGAAGAAGACTATTGAATACACCATGCAATGCCAGAAAGATGGATAAATCGGTCTTGGAAGAAGTACAGTGAGAACGAACCTTAGCAAGGATGAGGAGAATTTGTCTCACTTTAGACTAGTCTCTCAATAACATGTCTAAAATGACAGCAACAAAGATGGCCAAGAACAAGTCTAAAGCAGAGGGTCAGCGACAAAGCGGAGGACTGGATCACACCTGGTTTGATAAAATGGTGAAACACTCTAGACTGCAGCT